GTTGGCTGTTGGCTTTGTATAAAGGCCCTTAATTATGTTGAGGAATTTCCCTTCTATTCCTATTTTGCTGAGAGTTTTTATCATGAATGAGTGTTGGACTTTGTCAGATGCCTTTTCTGCATCAATTGATAAGATCATGTGATTCTTGTCTTTTGTTTTTATGTGATGGATTACATTGATTGTATTTCTAATGTTGAACCATCCCTGCATACCTAGTATGAATCCTGCTTGATCATGGTGAATTATTTTTTTGATATGTTGTTGAATTCTATTGGCTAGAATTTTGTTGAGGATTTTTGCGCCTATGCTCATGAGGGATATTGGTCTATAATTTTCTGTTTTTGTGGTGTCTTCACCTGGTTTTGGTATCAGGGTTATGCTGGCTTCATAGAATGAGTTTGGGAGTATTCCATCCTTTTCTATGCTCTGAAATACCTTTAGTAGTAGTGGTGTTAACTGTTCTCTGAAAGTTCGGTAGTATTCTCCAGTGAAACCATCCAGGCCAGGGCTTTTTGGGGGGGCGGAGTTTTTAAATTACCTTTTCATTCTCTTCTTTTGTCATAGGTTTATTTAGTTGTACTGCTTCTGTTTGTGTTAGTTTAGTTAGGTAGTAAGCTTCTAGAAATTTGTCCATTTCCTCTAGGTTTTCAAATTTGTTAGAGTACAATGTTTAACAGTACTGTGTTATGATTCTTTTAATTTCAGTTAGGTCTGTTGTGACACTGCCCATCTCATTTCTTATTTGGTTTATTTGCTTCCTCTCCTGTTTTTCTTTTGTCAGTTTGGCCAGTGGTTTATCAATTTTGTTGATCTTCTCAAAGAACCAGCTTTTGGTCTTGTTAACTCTTTCAATTGTGTTTTTATTCTCTATTTCATTTAATTCTGCTCTAATTCTTATCATTTCCTTTCTTCTGACACCTGAGGGCTTCTTTTACTGCTCTCTTTCTACTTGTTCAAGTTGTAGGGTTAATGTTTTGATTTTGGCCCTTTCTTCTTTTTGGGTGTGTGCATTTATTGTTATAAAGTGACCTCTGAGCACTGCTTTTGCTGTGTCCCAAAGGTTCTGGTAGGGTGTGTTTTCATTCTCATTTGATTCAGTGAATTTCTTTATTCCATCCTTAATTTCTTCAATAAGCCAGTAGTTTTTGAGCAAGGTGTTGTTCAATTTCCGTGTGTTTGATTTTTTTTCCTTGCTTTTTCTGTTATTGATTTCTACTTTTATGGCTTTCTGGTCAGAAAAGATGCCTTGTAATATTTCGATGCTTTATGCCCTAATATGTGGTCTGTTTTGGAGAACATTCCATGTGTGTTGGAAAAGAAAGTATACTTGGCTGCTGTTGGGTGGAGTGTTCTGTATATGTCTATGAGATTAAGTTGGTTGATTTTGGCATTTAGCTTTTCCATGTCTTTATTAAGCTTCTTTCTGGATGTTCTGTCCTTCACCGAAAGTGGTGTGTTGAAATCTCCTACTGTTGTTGCAGAGCAGTCTATCTTTCTTTTCAGTGCCGTTAGAATTTGTTTTATGTATTTTGGAGCCCTGTCATTGGATGCATAAATATTTATTATAGTTATATCCTCCTTGTGTATTGACCCTTTAATCATTATATAGTGTCCTTCCTTATCCTTTGAGGTGTATTTTACTTTAAAGTCTGTTTTGTCAGAGATTAATATTGCCACTCCTGCTCTTTTTTGAGTGTTGTTTGCTTGATATATTTTTTTTCCATCCTTTGGGTTTTAGTTTGTTTCTGTCTTTAAGTCTAAGATGTATCTCTTGTAGGCAGCATGTAGAAGGATCATGTTTTTTAATCCATTCTGCCACTCTCTGTCTCTTATTGGTGCATTTATTCCATTTACATTTAGCGTAATTATTGATAGGTATGAGTTTAGTGCTGTCATTTTGATGTCTTTTTTTGTGTGTTGTTTCTTTGTTCCACTTAGTTTTCTGTGCTGAGTCATTTTTCTTTATGTATTTTGTTTTTATTGTTGTTGATTTTGTATTTGCTGAGTCATTATATTTTTCTTGTTTTTTATTTTGATGTGTAAGATTGTTAGTTTCCTTTATGGTTGCCTTAATATTTACCCCTATTTTTCTAAGTTTAAACCACTCTTTTATTTCTTTATATCGCCTTGACTTCCTCTCCATATGAAAGATCTATGATTACATTTTTTAGTCTTTCTTTTTTGTTTTAATGTTGTCATCTTTTACACATTGACCTCTCATTTTTCCTATTTTCAGTGTTTTAGCTTTGATTTATTTTTGTCACTTCCCTATCTTAGTTGCTATTTGGTTGCTCTGTCCTGTGTTCTAGTCTTGGGTTGTTATCTGATGTTATTGATTTTCTAACTGGAGGACTCTCTTTAGTTTTTTCAAATTCCCTAAACTTCTGTTTATCTGGAAATGTCCTAATTTCACCATCATATTTGAGAGACAGTTTTGCTAGATATATAATTCTTGGCTGGCAATTTTTTTCCTCCAAGGCTTTATATATGTCATACCATTGCTTTGTTGCCTACATGGTTTCTGCTGAGTAGTCTGAGCTTAGTCTTATTGACTCTGCTTTGTACATGACTTTTTGTTTATCCGTAGCCGCTCTTAAAATTCTCCCTTTATCTTTGGTTTTGGCAAGTTTGATTATAATATGTCTTGGTGACTTTCTTTTGGGATCTACCCTGTGTAAGGTTTGATGGACATCTTGGGTAGATATCTTCTCATCTTTCACAGTATCAGGGAAGTTTTCTGCCTACAAATCTTCAGAAATTCTCTCTGTATTTTCTGTTACCCTCCCTCTTCTGGTACTCCAGTCACTCATAGGTTATACCTCTTGATAAGAGTCCCATGTAATTCTTAGGGTTTCTTCATTTTTTTTAAATTCTTTTACCTGATTTTTCCTCAGATAAGTTGGTGTCAAGTGCTTTATCTTGAGTCTCCCTTATTCTGACTTCATTGTCTCAGTTCTGCTCCTGTGACTTTTTACTGACTTGTATAATTCTGAAATTTTTATTGTTAATCTTCTGGATTTCTGATTGCAGTCTCTGTGTGGATTCTTGCAACCTGTTTAATTTTTCATTATTCTCTTGTATAATCTTCTTAAATTCCTTTCTTGCTTTGTCTGTGTGTTCCTTAAATTATTCTGTATTTTGCGTAAACCCCTTCCTGATGTCTTGAAGAGTTCTGTATATTAGTCTTTTGTATTCTACGTCCGGTAATTCCAAGAAATTCTCTTCCTCCGGAAAATTTCTTGATTCTTTGTTTTGGAAGCTTGCTGAAGCCATCATGGTCTGCCTGTTTATGTGATTTGATATTGACTGGTGTCTCAGAGCCATCAATTAGTTATTGTATTTATTTATCTTATGTTTGCTTACTGTGTTGTAGCTTCTTGTTTTATTTTTTTTTTTGATATGCCCAAATAGGCTGCTTGTGTGAGCTAGTTTGATTATTGACACCTTCGAAGCTATAATGTCCTGTTACAAGGTGGTTAGATCTGTTAGTAGGTATGTGAGCCTTGTATGGATTCAGCTCAGGTGTCCAGGTAGTCGGTCACCAAGTGTGTGGTGCAGGCTCTCACCTGCAGTCCTAGACTGGCATGGGTGTTTGGTGTAGGCACAGGTATCTGGCTGCTGTAGGGAGTCATTCTCAGCAAGACAGGGGGCTGATGGCTTCTCCTGAGTGTCTGGGAGGAAAGCGTGTCCCTGTTCCCTAGGGCGCTTAGGTGTGTGGGTTTTATAGCCGGACTATGAGTACCCAATGCTGCTGGCTGTAAGGACTGGGAGGCACCACTTATTCTTGGACCCCTGCCATGGGTGGTTAGGTGGCATGGGTAGAGCCACCAGTCCTCAGACCCCTGATGTGGGTAGTGTGGACCCTGCTTAATGGGCAGAGCAGTGTCAAATGTCACGAACTTGCCACTTCACCATATAGCTGAAACAGTTGAAGTTAGGCTTCAGGTATATACCCTGTTATACTGTGGTAATGAAGGCCTACGCTGTTGAAATGGGCCCACACAGGTCTGTGTAAGGGTGGAAGGTATTCAAAGTCCGTGAACCCCTTAGCCTCTGCCTAGGCAAAGAAGGTGTGCCTACTCTTGAGTTCCCGGCTTAAGGAATCCGGCAGATTATTTTTTCCTGTTTGTTAATTTGTTCCCTCTGCAAGGCCAGGAGAATGGCTCAGGGCAGGTGACGGGTCTCACTTTCAGCCCAGGGGACTTGGCAGTGGCTGAAGCTGGGCGGGGACCTGTTTTAGAGTGGGGAGGGGGCAGGTAAATGGGAGAGAGCTTTTTGCCAAAGAGGGTGTTTTTTGATGCATGTGGTAGGTCAGACGCACATACTTATCTTCTGTCAATTGTGTGCCACTTTTCACTGGTTCTGGAGGCGTGAGTATATTCCACTGCTTGGTCTCTCCCGATGTGGAAAACACCTCCCAAGCACCAATGATTGCCTCACCGTGCATGCCAGCCTCTCCAGCCTGAAGGGTGCCATATCCCGCCAGGTCAGGGGTAGCAACTCCTTGCTGCTTCCGAACCGTCTCTCCCTTCCCAGCCAGTCAGTCCTATTCCTCAACTTTGCCTTTGATGTTCAGGGCTCCTAGATTGTTACATATAATCGATTTACTTGTTTTTTTGGGTCTTTGCTATAAGAGGGCCCATGGGAAACGTCTGCCTACTCTGCCATCTTGGTCCCGCCTCCTCCTAGTTTTTTCTTCAAAAAAGGTGTCCTGACTCTGTTCTAGTTCTGTCACTACATTGCAAAGGTATTTCCAGAAGTGTGTTAACCTCTAATACTGTGAAATAGTGGTCAAGCGACATGATGGCTTCAATTCAGCTGTGTTTTAGACAACTTCTCTAATATTTAGAGGAAATCTAAGACATAGGCAAAAGTATGATGTAGATTGTAACCATTTTATTTGTTGGGGGGAGAAAACTAAAGCATTCTTATAAAGAAACTAAGTGAAAAAAATAAAGCCTAAACGTGCATTTCTCTCTCTCTTTTTTTCTTAACTGTAGAATTTGTTTAATATGGTTGTAGAAGTACCTCGGTGGACAAATGCTAAAATGGAGGTATGCGATTAAATATAGCCTGTTAATTTCAAATGAGAATTATAACTTAATAATGACATAAAAAATATTTATTTGTTTCAAGTTGTTTTGAATTTGGAATGATTGACAAACTTTTTTATAAGGAAAATAATTAACGTTCTTGTGAACTTTGATTTTAATTTTAAAAAGAGCTATTGATCACTGAGCATATACTTTGGAGTATATTTTGCCTCTCTAGCTTATTTCACATTATTTTTATTTAATTCTCCTTGATTCTTCTTTCTTCAAAAATTTTCAAAGTTTACTTAGTAGATTCTGAGATGTATTTAGTTCATAGACACAACTGAAACATATGTAGTTGGAACTGGTGGCCGTTTTAGTTTCTAAGGACTTCATTCTCGTTTGGATTTTGCTCTGCCAGGAAGGAAAGCAGTTTTTGGTCAAATCTTGATTTATGATCATTATCTAAGAGCATCTGCTACTCTCCTATAAGTTTTTTTTTAAATCTTTTTCATGATAACTAAGATTGTCAAAATTTCCCTTTTTTTTTCCCAAATTTTATTGTTCCATCTTATGTTAGGTAAGATTTCTTCTAGGTTCTGAGTGAAATTTAATTTGTGGAACTTAGTTTGTTTAGTTATTTAAGCCTTTCTCCTATCACTTCCCTTGTAATAGTAAGTATTATTTCAAGTATTTGAAATGGGAATTGTTATGTAGGGATGTATTTTTCAGAATTTCTGTTTGGAGAATTGTCAATAATTTCATCAATTCCTGATAGTATTTTTTGTTAATGTTTTAATAGGAAAAAGAAAACATATGAGGTTATTCTTTTGGTCTTGTTTCAAATATAACATTTCATCATTTTGCTACTGTCCACATCAGTTAGGTATAAGATCCAAGCTTCTGTGAGATTCTGCCTCGTTTAAGCAGTGCTTCTTCATTCAAACATAGCTTCTGTTATTTTTTTACTTTATAATATATGTATTTTTCTCTTTGAATGGTAATGTATATATATTTGATAGAAAACTAAGTGAAGTGAAATCACTTGTGAGAGTCTTTGAGTTAACTTTATTATCCTAAGTTTAATGGTAAAAAACCTGAGATTAGTAACAAGAAGCAGGTTGACTAATATTAATCCTCCTGCCGTTTCAATCATTTTATTATTTGTGTTGGAAATAATGAAGTACCTAAATAATAGAGTGCCTAAATACGTAATCTGATGTTTCCTTTCCAGACAGGTTTTCTTACATACATTGTATAAATTACTAATAAGAGCTGCCTTAATTTATTTTATTTTTATTTTTTAATTTTTTTTAAAAAATATTTTATTGTACTTCAGGTGAAGGCTTACAGAACAAATAGTTTCTCATGAAACTGTAGTACACATGTTGTTTGATGACATTGGTTAACAACCCCACAACATATTAACCCTCTAACTTCTCAAACTTTTTTTTTGGTGAAGATACACATAGCCAAAGATACACTGTTTCAAAAATTTCTACATGCACAGGTCAGTGACATTGACTACGCTCTTCCAATTGTGCTGTTATTCTCACTTAAGATGAAGGCTTACAGAACAAAATGGTTTCTCATTTAACAGTCA